CGGGCTGGAAGGAGACTGGTTCCAACGGAAATAGAGAAATTTGGAGGTGGAATATGGATGGGAATGGGGTTGTGTGGGAACATGAGGAGTTCTGCTCTGGAAAGGTTGAGTTTGAGATGCCCAAAGGACATTCAATGCCCACTAGGCAAGGTGAGGTAAGGCAAGGCTGGTGTTCAGGAGAGAAACTAGGGCTTGATACCTGGATCTGGGAGTTACCCGTGGAGAGACGATGAGGAACTCTGTCGGAACTGATGAAATCTCTGAGAGAGCGAAGGAGGAGAAGAGGGCCCCGGACACAGAGCTTTGGGGGCTGGGGCAGCAAAGGAGACTGAGTTGGGGAGTGGCCAGACAGGTGGAGTAAAACCTCAGGGAAGAGAAAGTGTCCAGAGGGGGGATTGTCAAGCGTTAACAGCATCTTGGTCTTGTCAAAGGGACTCAAGGAACCGGGAAGACACAGACTGTCCCTCCTGTCGCTTTCTGCTGGCCCATCCCCACACTCACCCGGCCGCTCTCCACTATCTCCTTCTGGAGGTCTTTGGAGGCTACAATGAGGATCTGAATTGCCTGCATCAGGCTGGTACAGGAGCTGAGGATCCTGCAAAACCAAGCCCCACAGATGCTTATCCCCTCAACAGCGAAGCCAAGTCTGGAGTGTTCGAGGGAATGGAGAGCTAGGAATGAACTGTATTCTTCTAGAAGGATTCTAGAGAGAGATGTCTGAGGAGAAGCTGGGGAGGCGAGGCATCTCGATCACGGGTCCTCCAAGGAGACGGTGCTTACAGGCTGTCTCCTGAGAGTCAGCCAGAGGTCACGTTCCCTGGTAGTGGGATGTTCTTTTCTATTTATCCTCCACTGTCATGCCAGTACCCTAAGGAATCCTGTGTTATCTGCTCAGGGGGGACGGTGCAGACCCAACCCCTACCTGAAAGGGCCTAAAGTGAGGCTTCCAAATTTCAGGGCCCTAGAGTTTCTTACTCTTGTTGGCATGACCTCCGTTGAAACCTCAACAAACTATCTTTGCTGATGATCTTCAAGTGTCACCCCTCTGTGGCCAAACTGTGGCTGAACCTCCAAGCTTAGCTAGGCTGGTCCTATGACAAAAGCCAGCCCATCATTGGGACCATTCTCTGTGCCTTGCCATCGGCACATTGCCTGCTTGAGCTGACACTGGGCTGAACAGCTTTTGAGAACCCAGAGTCGACTCTGCTCCATGATAAAGCAGGAGAGGAGGCCAGGAGAACAAGGTAAGCACTAACTGAAATCCTCCAACAAGTGTTCAAGGGGCCTGCCCTGGCTACCTTGGAGTCAGAGCACTGGTCATACTGACCTTTCATTCACCTCTAGTTTGACCCCTGTGTCTCCAGCTCGGGACTTGTTGAGCATCTCCTGTTAACAAAGAGGAAGAAGGAAGCATGGAAGGAAGATGGGTGCTGGAAGGGGTAAGCCTCTGTGTCTGCCCCATGGAGAGTGGCCAAGGAGAAACCCAGACCTAGAAAGGTCCTTCCTCAGAGGTGCCCCACCCAGCCCTTGGGAGTGTTAGGAAGAGAATCCAGCCCAAGTGTTTGCGTAGCTGCTCACTAGAGACAGGATGCTTCTCCTTCTGTAACAAATAGTACCCACCCCTCTGGCACATGAACCACTCTGCACCATTGCCTAAGACAAGAGAGGCAGATGGCCTCTGGGTATCCATGCCAAGTGGGCAATGTCCTTTTCACCAAAGGACTCGTTTCTAACCCACGTCCAGGCTTCTCCTGGGTGTGCTGCCCCTGGGTAACTTCTGTGTACTTTCTGGCCCTCAGGGAGTCAAAGGGATCTTGGCCTTGGTTTGGCTAGGGCTCTCGCCCTCTGGTCTCTAGGTACTCTCCTCTCATGGTCAAGGCCCCATGTCTTGACAGGGCAGGAACTCTCCCTCTGAATCCTGGGCCCAGCCAGTAGATGACTCTTACCTCGATCCTGGCCGTGGCTGTTTCAATGGCAGCTGCGGCGGCAGCCATCTCTCTGTCCACCAAGTCTCCCAGCTCCTCCTGCTTAATGTCCAGGCCTCTGGGTCTGAGCTCCTAGAACCGAAGCACAGAGGCTGAAGAAAAGTCCTCTTCCAACCTGTCGGGCTTCCAGATCTCCCTTTGAGGGACTCCGGGACTTCTGACGCTTCCTGCTGATAAGGGCTGCAAAGGTTTGACTGAGGGCCAAGGGACAGCCATGCTCCCACACACACTTCTGTCAGTCACCAGCTGGAATGTTGTTCCTGTCCCTCCATCTGCCAGGCATGGCAACCGTGTGTAACCCTACACAGCTGGCTTATTCTTGCCTTCGGGCCCTCGCACATGCTGCTCTGAGAGTCTAGCTCAAAACTCAACTCCCTTCCAAGGAACTGACCATATTAATCTCATC